TTTAATTCAACTCAAAGTGTATATTCCTTAAAGTGTTACTAATGTCTAATCTGCTCTATATGATGTACAAAATCATACTTAGATCATATCAAGCATTATCCTATTTGGCAAAAAGATTTGGAACTGAATCTCTGGATTTCCATGGTGCCACAGGTTATTTCTATTATAATCTTAGTAACAATACTATTAGTCTTTGGGTGTTTAACAGTTGTTTTAATTTTTTTAATCTCCTATTCTTTACAGTTGATCTTCCTCAAATGGCCCAGCAACAATTCAACTCCAACTGTCTAGGTGCCCTGGCCATCTTCTGAGACCTGAAGAACTCTCTGCATAGCCCTCCCTCCCCCCTCCCTTCCTCTCCCCTTCTCTCCATTTTCCCCTCTTACCTTCTTATTTTCTTCTTCTTCTCTTGCCTTACACTTGTTAGACAAGTTACACTGAGTTACAACCCCACACTTACCATTTTTTTCTTTTGGCCATATCTAAGCCATAGAATGTCAAAGATGTTACAAAGACCTTCAAACAGTCCTCAGACCCACAACCATCTCTCTTCTGCCTGCCTGCAAATACTTTTTCTCTCGCCCTCCAATCATTTACCATTAGTTAAAATTTCATATTAGAAATTCTATTAGCATGTTTTGTCCATGAATAACCTAGTGGAGTGGATCCAAATGTGTATGTAGATGGTTAAGCTGATAGTCTGTGGCTCGAGCACAAGTGTTGCCAATACAAACCTAAAATTATAGGTGGCAGGAAAAATGAAGAGTTGTGATTTTACAAATGACTCCAAATGAACTGGATATGACTTCAAGGAACCAAAGTAGGTTAGTATATGCTTCCAGAATAAAATACACTGTCAAGAGTAATTTTTCTGGCCAGGCATGGTGCTGCATGCCTTTAGTGCTAGCCCTCAGTGTGTTCAAGGACAGCCTGTTTTACAGGGAAAGCTCCAGGACAGCCAGGGTGGTTACACAAGGAAATCCTGTCTCAAAAAAAAAAAAAAAAAAAAAAACCTAAACAAAAACAAAAAAACAAGCAAACAGATAAGCAAAGAATAATTTTTTCCAACTGAGTGGTTTTACCACATCACTACTGCGCTAAAACAACTTCTACTGGATCTCAATTATCTTTAAAACAAAAAGTGTAGTCTTCCAAGACTTTTAACATCCTTTACTTCTATTACTCACTTTGCCCTAACCTCTATGCTCAACCCTTGATATGGTTCCCTGTTCTCAGTCAGCCTAGCTCACTCTCAGCATGGATTTTCATTGTTTCCTTTCTCCTTGCCTACACATATTTTATACTTGTCCCATGCTGATCTTTGTTAACTGACTAATCAAGATCTACTTCGTGATATGCTTCCTTTCAATAAGTCATCTCTACTTCACTGACAACATCACTCGACACTTTTGTGACAGAATACACGGAGCTACAGGAAGAATTTACACAGCCATTGTGTTAAAGCCCCCAGGTCAGCACTGTGATATGGTTTTTCTCAGATGGGAGTTGAGAGACACACGTTCTAGATAGCTGTTCAACCACCAATTATCTCTGTGACCTAAGACATAGTGCTTAATCTCACCGGACTTGTGTTTTCTTGTCTATATAAGTCAAGGGGTAGGAATGTGCAATGGAAGTCCAGACTTCCTTTCTCACATATTTGTTATGAGGCTCAAGAGAAATAATGTATTTAGGTGTAGTTTAGAATTCAAATGCATTGTATAAACCCAACTTTTAAAATCTACAACCCTGTATCTCTTAAGCCCTAGGAAACCTGAGTGAAGAGATAATGGGTTTGCATTCTAATCCCTTCAGAAATGTCAGACTCGTCTACCTTTCCCATGCATGTTGCTCATCACCCCATCTCTATTTTATTTAGAAGATTATTACAAAAGATTCTATTTTGGCTTTGAATATTGCCAAGGTGGCAACGTGGGAAAGATAGGCAGCTGCTAAGACTCAGAAAAAGGCACCTAATTCATTCAAAATTTCTGTAAAAAGGAGGACTTAAGAAATTTAAAACTATTGATCCAGGGCCAAGAGGCCCTCTAGCACTGCATTATCACTCACATTCAATAATGAAAATGAAATGAGAAAAAGAAAGAAGAGCGTCAATGTTGTAATGGTTCTTTGGCCTCTGTTTAAATGATCCTTGGCTATCTGAAACACCAAATTCTGCTGAAAAGCACTGCAGAAAAAAGATACCCTACCCAGTAACCTGTAATGTATGAGCTGATTAGTAAACACTTCCTAAATCTTTCTCTGACACAGCATCTATTCCAAGCCTTTTCTGGTTTTGCTTTTAATAAAAACAGGTTATGGAGGGGAGGAAATATACTAGTTGCAGCAAAAGTGCTTCCCAATCAGGCACCAATCAACCATTCTGATACCCTGTTACCAAAAGAGACACATATAAAGCATTGTATTTAAAGCTAGTCAGAAGAAGAAAGATCAAAACAGACAAATAAAATCAGTCCTTGCTCTCAAACTGTGACAGACATCTTTTGAAGCAATGGGAAGTCATTTCTAAAATACTCAAAGCTAATCATAATACAATTCTGGTAGTATATAGACCCAGCAACCTACCCTAGTAGAGCAAAACATGGACAAAACAACACCCAAATAATCTTGGATCAAGAGATCACACCATAAATTTTAGACTCATCATGAATGAGCATAGACAGAATTACAAACAAGAGTTCACTGAATATACATACAGTGATGACTCCAAGTTGTCTCCTAGTGCTGTTGTGCTTGTTGACAAAATCATCTGTGTCAAAACCCAAAAGGCCATCTTATTCTGTGACTGCACAGTTTTCAGCTTTTGTGATTCCATGTTAAAGCCTTGTAAAATAAACATTTAAATGTGGGACACAAGTTCCTTTGAAGGATGTTTCCTGTTTGTTGGTTTTTTTGTTTTGTTTTTTGTTTTTGTTTTGTTTATCCAGAGTGTAAAAACCTGAAAACTGACCCCAAGCCTGGTTTTAAAACTGGTTAGATGTGACACCTGTGGGTTTCAGTTATGAACAGACACGATTAACACAGCTTAGTGTTTCTCTCTCTCTCTCTCTCTCTCTCTCTCTCTCTCTCTCTCTCTCTCTCTGAGTGTGTGTGTGTGTGTGTGTGTGTGTGTGTGTGGTATCAGAGAGGGTAGGAAAATTCCAAAGAGTGGCAAGTAGGTAGGCACATAAGATGGATTTATTAGAAAAAGGCCTGCCAAGTAAGAGAGTTGAAGGGCTCAGCTCTCCCGGGTTTCTCCCATTCTGGAGGTTAGAGATGATCCCTGTGCTGGGCTTTGTAGCTGTCAAGCAGTGTGACTTGTATGCAGAATGATAGGTTTAAGTACAGATGCTGCAGCAAGTGTCAGAGAAATGCTGACTGCATCATTAGATTCTGGTCTTTGGAGGGGCATATATATGAGACTGCCGCAAGTGGTATTCATTGCTAAGATGTGGTGTCGAGAACAGAAAAATACTGCAGATTCGAGAAAATTATTAGTGAATATCACCTAACAAAGAAATAGGGACCAGCCAATGTTGCACTTTGGAAAAATTAATGGAGGAGGGGCTGCAGATGGAGGGCTGCCATCCAAACTGCAGCATTCTCTGTGTGGGAGATAAATTCACTTGTCATATTTCAAATTAGGTTTATAGGTATTCCTCCCCCACCCGGCTGTGGCTTGATGGGAAGACTTCTCAGATTTTAATTCTATATGGCAGCACATTGGCGTCTAAAGTCTAGGTCTAAGATGATGGTTTGTAGGTATGTGTGCATGACTAACAAGGACAGAGCTTCTAAAGTCGCCTAATGTCGTTGGAAGAGTGCTGCTGCAGCAACCTGTCCTTTTTGCAACACATTTTTCCATCCCTAATGCTACAGTGCTTTGGGAGGCTTAAAAAAAAAAAAAAAAAGAGGTGTGGGTGTTGGAATTTTTTTTTTCTCAGTCCAGGACATGACCGTTTTTCAAACACACACACACACACACACACACACACACACACACACACACACACACACACACACACACACACACGTTAGATTAGAAGTCCTGCAGATACCTAGGAAGTCCAGCTAAAAGCAGAAGGCAGTCTCTCTTATGGCAAAGCCTAGCCAGACAGATGCCAGATAGCTGCAGAGATCAGCATAGCCTAACCACCACCACTGCCAGGGCACTCTCTTCCTCTCTTGCCTTGCTGTCTGGCGCGCCGGGCTTCATCTGCAGACTGCAGAAAGCCAGGGCTTCAGTTCTCCCTCATCACACTCCGTTCCCAAACACCGCAAAACCAGTACGGAATAGCAACCTCCTCAACTGTTGTGGTTTAGAAAACCGCAGGCAAAATAAAATAAACCAGGGGCTCGGAAGACTCTCGGAGGAGGGTCTCCCCACCCCATACCCATCTCTCTCTTTCCAAGCTCTGTAGGTTAATTTCTTTTCCTGGGTTAGATAAAAAGGATTACTTGTCCATCCTGACTTGGAGGTTGGGAACGAAGTGGCTAGGGAGGGCAAGAGTCTGATCCCAGGCTAGATCCACCTGCTGCTGAAGTGAGAGGGCGATTAACTACCCTATGGTAGCGGCTCCTGTAGAGTGTAGAAGGATTGCAAAGACCCTCAACTTCTCTCTCATTCTCTCTGTCTCTGTCTCTGTCTGTCTCTCTCTCTCTCTCTCTCTCTCTCTGTGTGTGTCTGTGTATCTGTCTGTCTGTCTGTCTTGGGCTCTCTCCTCCCGGTCTCTCCCTGTCTCTGTCTCTTCCTCGGTCTCTCAGTCTCTGAGTCTGTATGTCTCTCTCTCCCATTCTTGTCACTAAAGAGTTAACACCGGCCAGGCTCCAAGTCCTCCCCACAAGCCACTTCACTCCCCCTCCTCTTTTTTGCCCCCCCTCCCTTCCCGCGCACGTCGCTAAGAGGTCATCAAGCGCTCTGCCCAGTCGCGTTCTCAAGTCTTACTCTTTCCCGCCCATCAAACCCGTAGCTGCTTACGAAGAGGTGTGCGCTCACCAAGGGGCGTGTTCCAGCTCCAGGAGACGCTGTGCGCCCCTGGGTTAGACCTCAGAGCTGCGCTAGCCATGGAGCGAAGCGGGTGCAAAGTTTGGCACCCCGCAAAGGGATGTCAGATAAGAGTGGGCGGACCGCCCGAAAGCTCTCTTGCTTTCCAGTCTTAGGGGCGCCGGCTGCTTGTACCCCAGACAGCGTGCTGCAATGGACGGTGTAGATTCGGCGGCCCAGGGCACTGCCCAGCCTCAGGATGGAGAGCAGGCGGCGGAGTCCCCGGAGCCGCCACCGCCACCTCCTGCTCCGCCGCCGGCTCCGCCGCCACCGGCTCCTCCACCAGAACCAGAACCAGAACCAGAGCTTGCTCTGGGACCCTGTCCAGAGGCGACTCCAGAACCAGCCACAGAACCAGACGCAAAACCAACCCCAGAGCCGGCCCCGGAGCCGGACCCAGGACCAGACTCAGAGCCGGAACCAGAGCCGGACCCAGAACTTGTCCCAGAGACGGCCCAGGAGCCGATCCCAGAATTTGCCCCAGAGCCGGCCTCGGTGCCGACCCCAGAACCAGACTCAGAGCCGGAACCAGAGCCGGACCCAGAACTTGTCCCAGAGACGGCCCAGGTGCCGGTCCCAGAATTTGCCCCAGAGCTGGCCTCAGAGCCGGCCCCAGAACCGACTAGAGAGCCTACCCCAGATCTTGACACAGGGCTAGCCCTAGAGTCAGCCCCAAAACCTGCCACTAAGAGGGCCCCAGAGTCGTGCCCTGAGCCAACTCCAGAGAGTCCAAAGATGAGTTCAGCACTACAACTGTTGCAGTTTCAGGTGGTCCCTGGAGAGAAGGGTCGAAAGCCATCTCCATTGCCATCGCCCAAAGGGTCAATAACGTGGTCCCGAATAAAGGTAAGAAAAAGATTCCCCGGGGGGGGGGCGCGGCAAGGTGAAGTCGGATGGGTATGGAGTTTGGGGGACTCCATGCATCCCTTGCATCCATTTGGCTGCCACTCACCAGAAAGATGTAGGATTGGGAGAGCCTGGGGAAGCGGGAAGTGTCAGGGAAGCGGGAAGTGCTTGGGAGGCGGGAAGCAACATGTGGGAAAAAAAGAAAAAAGAAAAAAAAGAGAGTAAGCTGCTTGGGGTTAAGAAAAGAGGGGTCAGCAGAAGTGGGAAGAAGTGACAGTGCAGTGAGCATGTATATCTTGATAAAAGCGTCGAGAGGCACCCCCAGGGAACGCAAGATACCTGAAGTATTTGGGGCTGGCTGAAGGTACTTAAGTGGGTGACACTGAGGGGGAGGAGGGCGATGGGACACACCTCTGCCACAGTCACTGCCGCAGAGGCCCAAACTGCACAGCCTCTGCCTGCTTGGCCCCCTCCCTGCCACTAAGAAGGAGGGGGCACATCAGCTGAACACACTCTAGGAAGGTCCCTGGTGTCTCCGTCCCCTGCTGGCCACTGGTACTCCAAGCAGAGGTGAGGGGAAGGGCGGCGCCCACGCGCACTGCAGGGGAAGGGCAAGGTTCTCTGGGAGGAGGGGGAGAGAATGCTTCTGTTGAAGGCAACATGTCTGTCTGCAGGATTTACCAGCAGGTAGGTGCAAACACAGTGATACAGTGACGCGAGGCGTCACAAGGGGGCAACTGTCATCCCGAGCCAGGACCAGCTGGAATAGTACTGCAGTCCTTGTTCAGAGACGTGAAAACACGAGTTGGGTTTTGTGAGCAGAGTGTGTGAACCGCAACTTTCATCTCTCCCTCTCTACAGCAATTCCTGGTGAAATACTGCACTTAACTCGTGGGGGGGGGGGGGTGAGGGGAGGATGAATGAAGGGTCCTCTGGCACCAGTCCAAGCCAGAGGAGGGAGGAGGGTTTTCAATGTCTACCTCTCGTCTATCTGATTTTCTCCCTGTCTCGGGTCCCTACAGTCTAAACCGTGAAAATCACGATAATGCCTATGCCTCACTTCAGCTGTCCCCTAAGAAAAATACACAGGTAGAGGCACAAGCAAATAACACGATATGCCAACAACAGCAGCCCATTCTGCTGTTTGGCAGGGCTAGGGACATGTCTTGGGAATCCTACTGCTATGAACTACACACTTGTAGAATGCAGAATGCAGGGGTGGGGAAGTAAAATTGGCATCATGAAATAGCGTGACAAGTATCTGCAGTGATAAAAGTCTGCAGTGAAACTTTCAAAGAAAGAAGACAAAGGGGTGAAAATTTATGTAAATAAATAAAATACTATGATAGTGGTCTGAACAATTAAAAAAAAAATCAGGGATGGATCTTTCCCCTTCTGGCAGATATCCTTCCTTGGTGAGATTTCGAGAAAGGGGTTGGGGTGGGGTGAGCAGCTAACCAGGAAAGTCATCCTAACCCCAAAGTTAGCTGTTTTCTCTTTGGAAAGGTTTGCGTTAAACTGGTGAGTGGGAGATGAGCAAGAATCACCTGACCCGTGGCCATCTTAAGTGACATTTGGGGAACTAGGCTGAAAAACAGGCCTAGCTCCGTGATTACCTGCATGGTCTGTGAGGGCATCTTCCCTTTGGCCTGAGGAAGGCAGACCGGGGGCCAGGACCCCTTTTCCCAATCCTCAGTGAAAATCATTCCTTAGCTCTGAAAGCATATTTTACCAGCTTGACTGGAAAATGTCTGTTGCCAGATATGGAGGATCATCAAGGCAAGAGGAATCAGGGCAGTTTCCTTTATATTGTGCAGCTTCGCATATGCTGGCTGGCAGCTCACTGAAAGCATTCATAGGAGACAAAGACCCCAGGGGGTTGACTTTACCCTCAGAAGAGTCAGGCATTTGTTAACCCCCATTATCTATAGGAACCCTAACTATCATCAGGAGGGACCTGTAGATAAGCTACTAACAGCAATTCCCCTCTGATGCAGTTGGCAACAGCTGATGTTCAGGGGTAGGGTCATTTTCTTTTGCATTATTTCAAGCAAATAGCACCTACAAACAGCTGACTTGCGTCTTAACATTCAATACAAATAGATTGACTTATTAGCTGGGGTAAGTGTGTTCTCAAATACTGCCTCCTTGAGGAAAGCTTGGGAAAACAAACACACACACACCATCTCAAACAATACAAGTCTCAGTTTCCAAAGAAATCCTTCATAGCAAGCATGAAACTAGCTTGTAAATTTAAAAGAAGAAAAGGACAAACGCAAAGTGCCTGAGAATATGACTGCAAGTTTTTCCCAGGTAATAGTGCTAGCTGGTATTTCAATAAGCAAACAAAATCTGTTCTCTTTGGAGCATTCGGTAAGCTTTCAGGACCTACTAGCTGCAGTTGTATGCAGACACTAGAGACTGCAGAAAGGAGGCTACCAGGGTCACAGGTTGTGAACCAAACCTATCTGCTTCTCCCCTTCTAAAATGTTCCGATTCCCAGGAAATGAGCTTAGGTCTCCCACCTGGTGGCAGGAAATGTAAGCAAGGATGTGTGAATTGGTTCTTTAACAACACTATGACTCTCTTGGGGGGCTTGGGGCTTATATGAAGTGGATCGTATTTGTTTTTGTCCCCTCACTTGTGCCTGAAGAAAGATGTTTGTAGTTTTGTATTTTTAATTTACTGGATTTTGAGCAGTTATAAAATTATAATCACACAGTACGAGTGACTGATGAAAATTTGGGGAGAAATACACATTTGTGACTGATTTGTGAGAGGAGAGGTTTGTGTATCCCTGTTAATGACTATGCAGTAATTACCTTCACCCAAAGCTATAAAACTACAGCTTTTTCCCCCACAGAATTGATGTTTGGGGCACATATTTTCTCATAAGACACAGAATTTTTCTACATTTTATCATCATGTGTGTTTATTACTATGAAAATAATTTTTATTATTTCCTAAAAATAAAATAAAAATAAAGTAAGGTTTGGCACCATCAAAATAGCAAGCATGTATCAGGTAGAATATTAGGTAAGTCTTACTTAATTATTTTATTAGCTTACCTATTTCTGAGTTTCTCAAAAGTAGGGACTGCCTTTCTCAATGACTGGTGCAATGCAGTACTCCTTGGTTTTGCTCAATAAGCACTTGCTGAAGCTTGGAACCTATCAACGCCATTTCCAGCAACACAAAGATTGCTGCTGAGATTAAATGAAAATACATTCTCATCAGTTCAACATGAGAATTAAATGCTTATTTAAATAGCCTGATATAGATATATACATGTATATATTCTTTAAAGAAGTGAAGTCAATTTAATAAGATATATTAAATACTCCAGTATATGTAATATGTATGTATACATGAATTTGTAGACAGACACCAACACATATATGTGTGTGTTTGTATTCATGTCTTTAAGGGATATATATGCATATGTTCATTCCCTTAAAGAAATGAAGTCAATTTACTAATATTCAGAATTGGCATTGAGAATATAATTAAAAGAAATATTACTAACAATGTTTCAATAGCTAAAAGTGTCCTTATCCTAGCAGCAACAGACTAATGGTGATGTCATTGGTTTCAGAGTAATGCATTTTTTCTTAAATGCACAGAATATCTGCAGTAACCGTGAACAGCTTTAGTGTTACAATATTTAACCTGTTGAAGGTCAGGATGAAATTACTTGCTTTCCTTTCAGGTTCTTTTACCATTTATTTGCTATATTTTGAGAGCTCCTGAGTATTTGCTGCAGGATGTCCTCGAAAAAATAATGAGGTATTTGGTCAGTGCATCTTTTCTTTCTGAATGTACAATTCTTAAGTATTTATAAAGATCTCCATCTGGGGCTTCTGAAGGTCTATAGTACAAAATAAAGGACAGAACCTTTAGCCACAATACTCCCTGAGAAGAGGGGGAAAAAATCTGTGGAGGCCAAAGAGCATTGAAAGAAGGCTTGCAAAATATTCTGGCTAGTATGCTACTTTAAAATTTATAGAATGATTTCCTCTGTGTTGGTGACTTCTTTACTACTCTGAAGAAGGGAGTAGGGTAGCTAAGGACAAAGACAAAGTCAGATGACTAATAGTATCTATTGATTAATTTCTATTTTGTGGAGCATCTGTAATATTAATACATTGGTTTGTGCAACATAGAGGATCTTCATTATTTAAGGACAGTGCTGACATATTCCCTAAGTAATGATTGCTATTCCACTTGTGGTGCTTCCAGAGAGGCTAGCATAGAGCAAGACCTGAAAAGAGTAGAAATGTAAGACCTTGATTTTATTAATCACAGAGACACTTGGGGGCCGGGAGGAAAATAAATAGAAATCCAGCTATGGATAGGGAAAAGTTGATCAACCTTGACAATGCCCACACATTGAAAAAAGAAGTCATTGTAAAGATTAAAAAATTAAGGAGGCAATATATTTTAGGGAGATATGTCATCCTCATCAAAGCAAATAAATTTTAGTCCCAAAAATAGAAAAAAATCAATATATGAGTATTTTACTTAAAAAACAGAGATACAAGCACCTTAGTTATTAAAATTGATCCCTAATCTAAATATTAGCAAAAGGAAGTCTGAAAAGAAGTGCTTCTTAGCTAGCCATCATCAAGGCCCACAAAGCTACTATCTGTCAAAGAAAAGTTAGGAAGTGAAAAGGAGAAACCATTTTAAACAGTATTTGGACTCTTTAAAAGAGCAGGGAATTTATACATTTTGTGGGCCCATGCCTGTTCTTTGATGCAAATTATGGAGATGAAAAGCAGTCCTCCAAAGGAAATCTCTAGCTGCATCTGGGTTGCTTCCCATCAAAGCCCCTAACACTGTTTCTCCCAGTTCCAGAGATATCCAAGACAAGCAAGTCCCTCAAGACAGAAGGGAGGTGAGTGGCTGTCAGGAGGAAGGGCAGAGAGGAGCTTCAGGTGGGACAAAAATTTGAGACTTAGTTAATGTTGCTAGTTGAACACACTTTAACCCACAAACTT